AAGGGTAATCCGATAATTTTGACATTTGTTACAATATTTTATTACACATTTTTTTGAAAAAAATCAAAAAATTTTTCCAGACATATATATTTTTTTCAACTTTTTTAATTAAAAAGTAAAAAAAAAACACTTATATAGATCATCCCAAACAACCACATTACGGCCCCGTTTGGTAGAGTTGTGGGAAAGTGATTATAACTTATAACTTAATGGCTTATAGCTTATAACTGTGAACATAAGCTGATTTTTGACTTATAAATTAAGGTTCTCCTCCCCCACTCAAAGAATAAGTTAATTTTTGACTTACAAAAAATTATAAACTGTATTGTTAAGCTGAATCAAACACATCAAAATAGTTTAAATTAAGCTAAAAGATAAAATAAGTTAGAAATAAGTCCTACCAAACAGGGCCTACTACTTAAAAAAAACTTAAGGGAAAAAAAAAAATTTAAGTCGGTTAGTGAAATGCCCAGCTGACCCGGCCCGACCCACATTAATATGATATTGTTCTAATAAATAAATAAAAATTATTCTGAGACGCAGAAGCAGGAGGAGAGGCCTGAGCGGTTGTGATGTGAGCTCTGTGACCATAATTGATCTAATTGGGATGGAAGAGGAGCGAAGGTGGAAGCGCTTCTCCGAACACTCCTCGTCGTCGTCGGCTTATTCGCATATAAACAATCTTGACGATGGTTGTCTTATGCACATCTTCAGCTTCTTATCCCCTATTCCAGGTATATACTATCCATTTGCCATTTGTCTACATGTTCCGCAACTGGAAATTTGTTTTCTCACTTCAATTCTAGTGTTTTGATTCAATAAATTAAGGAACGAAGTTATTCAGTTTGTCTATTAATATGAATCAAGATCAGATTGTTCAGATTGCTCTTATATCTATACTAGTGTGCTTACCCTGAAGTGAATTCATAATCCCTGGTTTTATTGTAAATTCTATTGTTTCACTTTAGATTTGCACATTTGTGTTTCATTTCGTGAAAACCCTTTTGTGATTTTTACCTATTTATCTTCATAACGTTCAAAATTTTAACAAATATAATGCAATCTATTTTTCTCTTGTTTTAGCTCAATTCAAATAATTTGATTTAACAATTGGTCTTCAGAAATATCTGCTCAACTGTGTAAACATTGACTTTTTTTTTTATCATACAATTCACGATTCAATTCAAATTTCAATCTAAAGATTAAAATTGTGTTGTTGAATCAGAATTTGAGTGTGTTTGTTCAAAAAATACAAAAATTATATCTTTTGATTAAAACACAAGTTTTGGCTAAAACCATGAGGATTTGTGTGATTCGCGGGTGTGCCAAGGCAATAGTGCCTACGTTGTGGAAATACTTTTGGAAAAAATCTGACTTCTGAAAATAGGAGGCTATGTGAGACTCAAAGGGATAAAAGACCTCTTGGTTAAATCAAAAGGATTTATGGAGTTTTTAATGTCAACAAGAGAGGTAAATAAAGGGAAATGAACACCAAAACACATACTTTTATAAATTCAACGGATTTAAAATTACAAAAGCATAAGAACAAATTTGAAAACATGAAATTAAGTTGCAAAACGGAATTGAAACACAATTTAAGTCTCAAAACAATGCCTATGAAGGCCAAAATAACATTAATTTGACACGGATGTCATGGAAACTAAGAAACTAAAGTTAAATCTATGGCAAAGATGCCTTTCAAGTCTACTCTTAAACTAGGGCTAAATTAAGGATAAATAGAATTGGGCTATGTACTAAGTTGTGTTGAATGTTGGATTAATTGGGTGGCTTTGTTCCAGCTGCATTTCTTGTATTTATAGATCCTGAAAATCCCTGAAAATCTGCAACAACTTCTGTTAGTGGGGTGTTGAACCTCCTGAAGTGACATATGTCCCACTTTGACATCCAATACTGGGCCCAGTGAGTTCATTTCTTGGGTCTCGTGCTAGTTTGAGCCCAGGTGCATTGTCACGACCCCGTCACGACCCAAACAGGATAATGCAATGACCGGCTAGTAGTCATGGACTACCAAAGGCCTAACTTACGAAACAAGTTGGACTCTAGTACGTAATAATTGGGACAAAATGTTGTTTTAAGTTGCGGAAGCTATTAACCAAACCAAACCAAACCAAGTCTTAAGTCCCATCAAATGGGGTCGGCTACATGAATCCTTCTTCTCCACGCGGCCCTATCAAAGGCCATTTCATTAGTCAAATTAAGTAGATTCATATCTCTATTTATAACGCTAGTCAACGTTAATCTAGGCCTACCCCGTCCCCTAACACTTCCATCTATCGTTACAGCATCGCATCTCTTCACTACTGCCTCTGTTGGTCTCCGTTGAATATGACCAAACCATCTCAAACGATTCTCTCTCAACTTATCTTCTATCGGTGCTACTCCTACCCATTCCCGAATACACTCATTCTTAATCCTGTCCTGTCTAGTCTTACCACACATCCACCTTAGTATTCTCATCTCGGCCACACTCATCTTATCTACATGTTGTTAATTGAGTCCATTTGCAAATCTATTCAGAACAGTGCATATCTGTATGAAATGAAACATACATCATTCTTGATTACATTATTTAATTCTCTTACTGAGAGTACAACTTTTCATAAGAACATTTCTTCCAAATCTAAATACAATTTCTTCTCACAAAGATATACACATAGACCTCAAGAAGCCAAACTCTCCGTGGTACGTCTCTTTCACCTACACACATATAAGGGAGAGGGGGTGAGCCAAAACCCAGTAAATAATATCAAAATAAAGTGGTAAATGAATGAATGTCGACGAGCTTTATAAAACTTAGTACATTTGTGCATGGAATGTAAGGGGTTCAGTCTTGCTGCTGTTGGGGATTTCTGCCCTGCCTTGGTTTCTTTTGGTTATTTTCCCTTTCCTTGTGGGGTGTGCAAGGTTTATTCCTTATGTTTTTTTAGTATGCTCTCCTCGTGGGATGTTTAGGAGTTTACTTTATTTTGTTTAGTTTTTGCTTCTTTGGTTTTTGGTTATTACTGCTTTATTGTGCAAGGGATAGGCTTTGTCATCCCCGTCTCTTTTCTTTTCTAGTTCTCTTTTGCTTACTCATGCGGGCTGTGCATGGGATATACTCCATTGGTTGGCTGTTCATCCCCATATCTGTCATATGTGGATGTTGAACAGGAAATTAAGGGGTTGTTTGTGATGACCTAAATAAGTACACTTTTTGTCTTTTTACGAAAAGATGTGCAGAAAAGTAGAGAGATGATGTGATGGAAAAAAGATAAAAAGATAAAAAGTGTGTACTTATTTAGGATAGCCAAACTTGGCCTTAGGCTGCTGGTCTCTCCGATGGCAGGCTGCTGCTGGTTGTTGTTTCATTAGTGATCTGGGCTATGTTGTTCATGTTGCTGATGGACTTTGATGGGCTTGCTTCACAGATGCTTTTTGGTTGTTTCTTCTAGGTGCCATTGCTCGGCTGTTTTGCTGTACGTGTGTTTGTAGGAGCTGCTGCCTTAGGTTGCTCTTTGTGCTTGTCTAGTTGGCTCCTTGCTTTTATGTTGTTTTGTTTGTTGCTTTCCTAGTTAGGTTATGTTCTAGTATTTTTTTTTTTTTTCAGTTTTGTGTTGGGTTTGTTAGCTTTGTAGTAGGGCTTGGGGCATACCCCTTGTATATCTGTATATTTTGCTGTTTTATTTTATGACTTAATTACTCAAAAAGAAAAAAAAATAGTACAAGAATCATAGCTCGAACATAGCTTAACACGTGTATCATAATACAAGGCTTAACTTTCAAACATTTACGCAGAGATGAACATTCCAAGAACATTGACTATGAATAACTGGCCCGGGTACCAATTAGACAACCCACCCGAAGGTGGCAAGAGAGCTTGGCCTTCATGGTGTTATTGGCATGTTATCACGTCCCCCCAATAACTAGGACGTTTCCAAGGGTGTCATCTTCATATGTGATACAAGAGTATAGGACATTCATTTATGATAAAATATTAGCATTGCTTTCATAAACATAGCATATGTTTTGCATTTGAATAATAGTTTATCAAGCGTAACCTTACAATAATATTACTCACCAATGGTTCTTAGGAAAGGGGAAGACTTCCAAAGATGTAACCTACACAAGTATAATACAAGCATTCAATGAAATACAGTCCAAAGCAATGTAATACTACTCTTTTCGGTTCTAATTCTAATGTTCTAGCCTATGTTTATATTATTTGTCTAAACTATATACATTTAGGTCCATTTTCAAGTCTTGTTCAAGTTTGTTTCAAGTACCAATTAGGCGAAACAAGGCCTGACAAGCGAAAAAGGTGAAAAAGGAGAAAAACTAAGCAAATGCTCTGTTGGCTGCACATGTGGGGCCTCCGGGCTGCATGTGCGGATTCAAGCAGTCCTCCCGACGGGTTTTTCCTTCGAACTTCAAATGGGCATATCTCTTATCCGGACTTGGTTTTTGGCAATTCTTGATTCTAAATTCAAGCTCGGGAAGTCTAGTTTCTAATGGTGATAGTCTCACATCCAAAGTCCAAATATACAAAGAGATATGATTAAATTAGTGAAGGTTGCTCACTTTCTCTTAATCATTTCAAATTCATTTCTTCCCTAGCTTAGTCTTTTTCCATCTTTCTTTCACTCCTTCCTATTTTCTTCAATTCAAGGCATCTAAACATGATGCAAAACATACAAAAATGTTGTAGGATGACTAATTGAAAGATTTGACACAAAATCTTTTGATTTGTTCAAGTAAATGGTTGAATTCCTACAATTTCTTCTTAACCTAGCTTATTTTCATCTCTTTTCCATATCTTTTCTTTTATTTTATCAAGAACATATCTTAAATCATTTTCTTGTTGATTAATATTTATATCATGTGAAAGAGGGTTGAAAACCTTACCTTTCGGTGATTTTTGCTTAATTTTTGGGCTAAGATTGAAACTCCCCTTTTGTTGTTGCTGTTGTTGTTGTTCTTCTTCTTCCCTTCTATCTCATCTCTCTGTTGAATATACGAAGAAGAAGAAGAAGAAGAACGAGAGAGAGAGAGCTGCTGTATTCCTTAATTCAAAAAACATAGGGTTTCCCCCTTACACAACTATTTATACTAATAAGAATAATACATAAAGACTAAACTACCCTTAACACTTAACACTCCCTCTCAAGTTGGTGCAAAGATGTTTCTTATGCCCAATTTGCAACAAATAGGGTGAAAGACTTTACTACTAAGGCCTCGTTTGGGAACAGGCTAATTTAGTAACTTTTTGGCTATTTGGCTAAAATATGAGTTGAAAAAAACTAGTATGTTTGGGATGACTTTTTAGCTTTTTACGAAAAGATGTGCAAAAAGTAGAGAGAAAAGAGAATTTTTGACTTTTTGGTATGGGTTGTTGGCTTTTTGGTTTATTTAGTACCTTTTTGGCTTTTTGGCTAAAAAGTTTGGTTGCCAAACGAGGCCTAAGACCCTTAGTAAAAACATTCACCAGTTGATCTTTAGACTTAACAAAAGGCATACATATCACGCCCTTATTTAACATTTCCTTAATGAAATGTTTGTCAATCTCAATATACTTAGTCCGGTCATGTTGGACAGGATTGGGTGCAATACTAATAACAGCTTTGTTGTTGCAATACAAAGTCATGGGATCACTCCAATCAAGCCCTATATCACTCAACAAAGATTGAAGCCACATTAGTTCACATGTTCCATGTGCCATAGCCCTGTATTCAGCTTCAGCACTAGATTTGGAAACTCCCGCCTGCTTCTTACTATGCCATGTGACTAAATTTCTTCCTACAAAAGCACAATAACCGGAGGTAGATCGTCGGTCATCTATAGAGCCTGTCCAATTTGCATCTGTGAAAGCTTCCAACCTCAAGTGACCATGATTAGAGAACAAAATTTCTTTTTTCGGGGACAGATTTAAGGTACCTCAAAATGCGATAGACTGCATCCAAATGAGTTGCACGAGGATCATGCATAAACTGATTCACTATCCCAATTGTATAGGCAATATCTGGACGAGTATGAGAGAGATATATCAGTCTTCCCACAAGTCTTTGGTACCTTTTCTTCTCCACAGGCTCACCAACCCCACTACAAAGACGATGATTAGTCTCAATCGGTGAATCAACCGGTCTACAACCCAAAATGCCGGTTTCTTCAAGAAGATCTAGAATGTATTTCCTTTGAGAAATGAAGATGCCTTTATCAAATCTGGCAACTTCAATCCCAAAAAAGTATTTCAGTGGACCAAGATCTTTTATCTTAAACTCTTTGGCTAACTGTGTCTTGAGATGGGTCACCTCCTCCTCATCATTATCTGTCACAACTATGTCATCCACATATACAATAAGCACTCTTACCTTGTGTACATTGCGTTTGACAAACAAGGTGTGATCCGCATTGCTTTGCTGATACCCAAATCCCATTGCCTTTAGGAATTTACCAAATCAGGCTCTAGGAGATTGTTTCAAATCGTACAAAGCCTTTTTCAATCTACAAACCTTTCCAACTGTAAACTGAGATGAGAATCTTGGAGGTACATCCATATATACCTCCTCCTCCAAATCCCTATGAAGAAAAGCATTCTTCACATTTAGTTGCTGTAAAGGCCATTCCAAATTAGCATCACACGACAGAATAACTCGAATGGAATTCATCTTTACTACTGGGACAAAAGTTTATTGAAAATCTATTCCATATGTCTGGGTAAATCCCTTAGCCACTAGTCTTGCTTTGTACCGTTCAATCGTCCCATCTGCATTGTGGTTAATGGTGAACACCCACTTACATCCGACTGGTTTTTTCCTATTATGAAGAGACACTAACTCCCATGTGTTATTGCATCTCTTCTACCATAGCTACCTTCTACTTAGGATCATTGATGGCTTTTTTCCAACCCTGCGGAATACACACAGAAGAAAGAGACGAAACAAAAGCACGATATGGAGAAGACAACAAATCATATGACACGAATTTAGAAAATAGAGTGTTGAATATAGGCTCTAATCCCCTTTCTGAGAGCAATAAGAAGACTCAAGTCATCAGTAACAGGACCATCAACAACAGGTGAAGAAATGGGTTGAGAATCATTACCTGTAGAGTCAGTGGAAACTAGGTGTGAAACTGGCATAGGAGATGATGATTGACTTGGTGGCACAAGAGAAGCCTGCTCTTTCTGACGCGGTGAATAAGTCTTAAGATCAGCTCTGTCCAAACGACCATCGATATCCGACGACTCATCAACAGAACTGCTAGGCTCCCCCTCACCACAAATAACAGCCCGCTGATTAGAAAGGAAAAAAGACAACTCATGTTGATGTGATGCCGTCTCATCCGCAATCTCATTAATACCACTCTCCTCCTAAGGAAATAACGGAGGACCAGAAAAAAGGACTCAGATTCACGGAAGGTGACATCCATTCTAACGTACAACTTATGAGTGTGAGGGTCATAGCATTTGTAGCCCTTCTGAGTAGCAGAATAACCAAGAAAGACACACCGGACAGCCTTAGGATCAAGCTTCCCACGAGTACGAGGTTGAAGATGAACAAAACAGACATTACCAAAAACCCGAGGCAGAAGGGAAGAAGCGGGATAAGTCACAGGAAGAAGCTCAAGAGGAATTTGGAAGTGGAGGACACTAGAAGGCATACGGTTAATAAGGTAAGCCGCGGTAAGAACAACGTCCCCCAAAAAGACTTAGGAACGTTCATGGTAAACAAGAGAGAGCGAGCGAGCAACCTCAAGGAGGTGGCCATTCTTGCGTTCAGCAACTCCATTCTGTTCAGGATGCCAACACAACTAGTTTGATAAAGAATGCTATGCTCCTCGAGGTATGTCCTGAAAGCGCCATCAACATATTCAGTCCCATTATCACTCCTAAGAATTTTGATAGTAGCATTGAAGAGATTGGATAACATTTGTGAAAACTTTTGAAGCACGAGAAAATCTCATTTTTAGTGCGAAGTAAATAAATCCAAGTCACACGGGAATAACAATCAATAAAGGTGACAAACCACCGATAACAAGAGGTATATAGAAAATAAGCAACCTCAGAAATATGAAAAAAATGAAGACTGCAAAAAATAAGGAGAAGTCGACCTGTATTACAAGCGCCAGCAGCGGGTGTATTTGTATCTGATGGCACTGATGAACTTCCAGATCCTTTTTTCATCTTTGACTGCAGATATAGAACCAAAATCTAAGATATATTAGTTCCATTTGCTCATAGATTCCTTTTACATGCAATTGTAAATTATACTCTCATAATGCTCTAAATCCAATAAAAGAACAATTGCTGAAGTTGTTTTGGCTGCTTCTGCAGACATTCAAGCCAAAATTTAGTCAATAGGCCACAGAAGCAGCCAAAGCAGCCAGTGTTGAAGGACAAAGCATAATAAAGTGCCAATCACCTCCTAGGAATTAATTTACATTCATTTAAACAATGCATTTTGGCATGCCAACCAAACACCTCTACAAAGTTTACTCAATTAAATACCTTGGCATTTTCTTCACAATACTTCATTACGGCCGGGATGTTCGTGTAATGGCCATGCAACAGTGTCTACGCCCATAAAAGAAGCTTCCGCGGAATATTCAGATCAAGAGCATTGACCCCATCGAGGCCGGGATAGAAGTGTCCTGCAGTAGCTAACTGAAACGGCACCACAAACAGGTTGACACTTGATGGGAGCACTGCACAGGAGGTGTCTCTACTTCAGTTGTAAGAACATCAAGCAGTGTGGCAGCTGTCTCCAGATCTTGCTCTGAAGCTTTCTTGATTATAACATTTTTGATTTTTGACAATAAAGGGTTCCATTTTGTTTCAAGATTTTTTAGATGGGTCTTCAAAGGAAGAATTCCACAATTCATTTGTCTGCAGATCAACACACAGCTGTTGGCTGCTCTCTGACCCCAAATCTGATGGATTAGGAACTTGGATCTCACTTGAGAGTCCAGAATGTAAAGGTGTGATCAATGCCAAGCTAATTACAAGTGACCGATACCAAGCAACCGAGACATGCTTATAAACTTTAGCACAATTGCTATTTGACAACTTCGGATTCTTAAAATGCTTTCGTATCTCTTCACTTATTCCTTCAAGTACTTAAACTCTGACATTTCTCTCTAATAACTGGATATATTGGTACAGATATCTACAAGGAGAAAAATTATTAGAACGTATGTAAAACCAGGAGAGGAACCTATTTCTTTCATGTGAACTGGTATTGGATAATAAATTGCTAAAGATGTATACAACCCTTGGAATGCACTATGCTGAATCAACACATTGGCCAATTCAAAACACTAGAATAGTTAAATTCCACTCCCCCACCACACCCCAGCCCTCCCCTCCCGGACACCCCCCACCCTATACTCTCTTCTCTCTCTCTCTCTCTCTCTCTCTCTCTCTCTCTCTCTCACATATATATACAGATATGTATGCTTGTAACTAGGATGTCAGAGAAACGAAGCAGCATCGGGAGGGTGGCCGAGGAGATGAGTGGTAAGTTGGGGAGGTGGGATAGAGAACGAATTTTGTTTTTTGTAATTTTGTCCTAAATGATAATTGTGCCTTGGCAAAAAATTGTCATAAATAATAATAATTTCTGGTGGGTGTACATGGAAATATTGTGTGTACATTTAGAAGCTCCGTAAGTTTGCATATAGTTCAGGCTTCTTAGGAAACTAATTTTCTCAGCATCACTTGCCCATATAAGCTGCTCTCCGTTAATTCTGGGCTAATGATCTGGGGCAAATAGCATAAATCTGACCATAAGTTCATCTGCTCAATGAACAACGAGAAAATTTTCTCCAGAAGATGCTCAGAGCGGCTTGCAGCACCAGAGCCAACATTCTCAGTTTGATGTGTCAATGAAATTAGGGACTTAACATACCTCCCAAGAGCTACTAGAACAAGAACTTCAAGGCACAAGGGGAACTGGATTTGATACTGATAGTAAGTCTTACTGCAACATATAATCAAGGAAATCTTTAAAATGAAAATATGGTTGTACCTCTTATCTGCTCGAATAGAGATGTAAGCCCGGTCAAGTGTACAGATGTCTCCCGCCTCCTCCAACAGTTTCCAATAAAACAGAATGTACTTCCAAATGCAAGTGATAAATTTGCGAGAGCTTTCTGGTAAGTGAACTTCAAGGACCTTTCTGTTCCCAGAAAGACCTGGGGTGTGTTTGGTTTGTGTTTGTCAAGTAGTTTTTGAGATAACAAGTATGAAAACTTGTTTGGTTTGCCTTTTTTCAGAAATGGTTTTGAAAAATTGTTTTGGGGAGAGAGTTTTAAAAAAAGTGATTGATTTGATGTGTATAAGAGAGAGAGTGATTTTGGAAAGTAGGTAACCAAACAAAATTTTGAGATTTTTTTTGGAAAAATTTGTTTGGTTTGATTACTCTTAGAGAAATTTTCCCAAAAAATTTCTGAAAAACAAACCAAACAAGGCCCTGGTGTTTTGCACCTGAAATTAAGAGAAGGAAAAATATGCCGATTGTCTATTGAATTATTTCGTTCAGAAGCTAATAAAAATAACTAACAAAGGACCTACAGGAAAATGTTACTGGGGACTTCCTCTTATTTCATTTTTTTTTCTTTTTCTTTTTTTTTTTGTTTTTCCCCCTTATTTAATTTTGGATAGACAATGTGCATGTCTCTGTAGTAGCCTAATGTTAAAACTAAGGCCAAAACCCAGTCTTTACTGGGGACTTTCCAGTAATACATTCAAAACACGATTCATCACTCTTGCAAAGCATGTAGAATCATTTTAGCATTTCAAGGATGATATCATTTCAATGCGGAGATGACACTATTCAGTATTTCCTATGATAATGACTTGTCCCTTTTTCTTTTAATTACTCAAACATGGTAATAAAGACACATTTTCGTTGTAATTACTTCATGGAGCCAAATAAGAAAAATATTTGTGTTGCAGAAATAGTTCGAGGCTTGTACCTTCCTTTCTTGACCATACTATCAATCTCCCACATATTAATTGTGAAGGATGAGCGACATGACTTAAAGCAAAAGGAAAGTTCATCCTTTGCCCTCTCCAAATCCCCACTCTCACCCCTTCTGTACAGCCCTTGGGCAAGCATATATCTGGCCTTATGAAAATGTTTTAGGTCTCCTTCTACACAAATTTCAAGGGCAGAAAGGCAATCTCTGTAAAGCATATGCCACGCCTCTTCCAATTGATGTGAATCTACTAGCTTTGTATCCTCGGGATTGGTTTGAATACTTTTGTCCTCAACATCCATTAACAAATCTGGAATTTCAGTACCCATTCTGCTCAATATCTTCACGATATTCTCCTTTGTTGATTCATTAAAAGAATATTCTGCAACAACCTAAGGTAAACCCAAGAATAATCAAGACAAAAAAAACAAATTATAGCACAGACATCAACTACAACATTACTTGTGCAAGTTGAAGATATTGTCAATAATAAAGGTAAAACTAATTCATAATAATAAAATAAAACACTACAACCATGCGTAGGCGTGTATGTTTCTACATGTTTGTTTGTGTCCAAGTGATCGTTTCTCTTCGTGTAGGACTAAGCGGAGATGCATATGTATTTAGATGCAATTATTTTGAAATGGAATATTAGATATCTTTCATCTGCCACTTCAAATAAAACACATAGATGAATAAATCAATGGAAAAAATGAAATCTACAAAAAAGAAACATGGAGTGGAAGGCAATTTGATAATGGAAAAAAGAAAGATAAGTTCGACATAGGAACAACCTTTAGAACCTCTTTATTTTGTGTTAAATGTATAGATGAAAAGAAGAAGAAGAAGAAGAAGAAGAAGAAGGAATAGAACAAGAGAAAGCTTCTGTAGATTATTGATTCAAAACTTAGGGTTTCCCCCTTACACACAACTACTTATACTAATAAGAATAATACATAAAGACCAAACTACCCCTAACACTTAACACTCCCCCTCAAGTTGGTGCAAAGATGTTTCTCATGCCCAACTTGCAACAAATAGAGTGAAAGACTTTACTACTAAGACCCTTAGTAAAAACATCCGCCAGTTGATCTTCAGACTTAACAAAAGGCATACATATCACACCCTTATTCAATTTCTCCTTAATGAAATGTCTGTCAATCTCAATATGCTTAGTCCGGTCATGTTGAACAGGATTGTGTGCAATACTAATAGCAGCCTTGTTGTCGCAATACAAAGTCATGGGACCACTCCAATCAAGCCCTATATCACTCAACAAAGATTGAAGCCACATTAGTTCACATGTTCCATGTGCCATAGCCCTGTATTCAGCTTCAGCACTAGATCTAGAAAATCTCATTTTTTTCTTAAGCAACTTTACTGGTTGTATGGTAGATACTTGCAGGTGCAGGATCCAACACAAGGCACGCCTCACTTTACAGGTTTTAGTGTCAAAATTATCAGAATGGACCTGACCAGTTGATTAGATGACCATTCAAATGATTAACCATCCAAATGTTCATATCATCAGACAAACCAAATTGGCAATAACCCTAACACTAGACCATAACACGCCTTTGGTGTCGAATCTGTATGCTGTTGAATCTATCTAATTCAATTTGCAAGCCATGTCTAGATAGCAAGGGTGAAAATGCTATATGGATTTGAACATCAATATTTGAGGACCATATAATCGAACATAAGGACTGAGTGGGACCTGTTGAGCTGATGTCTTTGCTAAAGCCAAAGTCATTAATAGACACCGCCGACTTCTCCTACGACTTGTCTCAACTCTGTGAGGTAAAATAGAATTCTTCCTCCAACCTATAATGTTTATCTGCTTACTACCATCATTTAGCAGTAAATCCACCTCCTGCGTACATAAAACTATGGGAAGTCTTCATCAATCAAATTAATGCTGGGAATCGTCAAAGCACAGCAACACATCTTTTTCTCATTTTCAATTTTGTACAACATTCAAGATGAGAAAGATAATTAACATCAAATTTACCTTGTCATAAATATTGGCAAGCCGTTGCCAACTCTCAAAACGTAAAGGATTGTACTGTAAATCATATTTGAAAAGGTTAGCGTCTCGCTCTACAAATTCTTCCCCTTCCTTGGTGAGTACAAACCCAGCCTGAGCAAGGAGGTAGTACAAGTTGCAATAGACCTCCAAATATGGGTCAGAGCTGCAATCAGTTAATTACACATCAAAAACACAGTTTGTTCCAAGTAATAACAATCCATGGGCCAAAGCGTCATTTGGGGGAAAAATTAAATTAAATGACATAAAAATACTGATCTATGGATGTATACCTCCCTAATGATGATGCCTTGAGTTGTTTGAGGCTTCTACCATCGGGAAATATAATCTTCATGATAGAATCAAGAAACCCATCAGATCCGGCCACTTCTGAGAGTTTATCTTCACACAGATTGGGATCATCTAAGAACTTGTCAATTGCATTTCCAGCCAAAACATTGTCTGGTGGCTGTGGAATGTGTTTGCGTATGGCTCTTAATACTCTCTGAAGCTTTATCAATCCAGTTCTCTGCGACGTACAAATGTTAGCAGTCAAATGGAAATCAGAAAAAGCAAAAATCACCACATAATCTTCAAAAAAGAAAATAATAATTTGAGACTAAAGAAAAATGGAAAAAAAAAAAAAAACCAATGAAAGAAATGAGAAAGGAACAGAAAATTCACTAACAGATGAAGCCTTCGCATAGGGCAGTATAAACTGGAAAACATCAGCACACTGTTCCTTTGTCTGATAATCGCCACGGCTAGTATTTTTGTGCTGCACTAAATCATCTTCATAGGATGAATCTGATCTAAGCTTTAAACCATACAAACAGAAACAGCATCGATCCAAAGCATTATCAATTCCAACTCAAGTTCCTCCCTTTCATCTTCAGTTAGTTCACTGCCAAGATCATTAAATTGCTTGCTTGCTTTTTCTCCATGGGACATACCGTTGGGCCCATCACCACTGCATTTGCTACATTCCAATCCTGCATAAATTCAGCCAGCATTTAGCAGTAAACATGTTCTTGGTACACGCAAGAGTGTCCTGCAACTTTATTTACTTAAAATTTTTTTTTTTAAAAAACTTACAAGTATAACAATCTGAGTGATGTTTAATAATTCGTGTTTATTGATTTATTTATTTATTTAGATCATATTAATTTTTTACTTTTTTATACATCTTTACATAATAAATAAATAATTAATTAAAAATCCCTTAATTTTGAACATGTGTATGATACCATCGAACACTCTAGGATGCACGTCTGACGTGCTTTGTAAGTTAAGATGCAGTCCTTTCAGCATAGTAATAGGGATATTTGCAAAGGCAAAACATTAACTAGGGTTACTAGGAATTTTCCTCAAAAAATGTTGTTTGCAAATACAAAAAATTTCAGTACTAGTTGAAGTAACAGCCTATTTTGGATCTCCAAGTTCCAGACACAAATTTGAAAGTTGTTCCTTATTGACTTTTACAAGTACAAATATTTAAAGCAAAAGGCCAGTGTCAGACACATTGTAAGACAACAATGGTCTAGGTGCTATGTAGCACGGACACGGACACGGGACACGACACGGACAGTCGAAAACGCAATTTTTCAAAAAAAAGGGGACACGACACGCTGGGGACACGTTTAATATATATAATTTTATTTATTTATTTTATGTCTAAAATAAAAATAAAATCATTAATTCTTATACAATCACAATAATAATAAAATTAATAACATAATTTTTAAAAAAAATTAATAAAAAATGAGTTTTTTAAAATAAAAATAATTTATTTTATGAATTTTAAGTTTAACAAAAAAAAATAAGTATAAAACAAAAGAAAAAAGAAAAAAAAAAGAAAGGGAGAGAGAGAGAGAGAAACGTTGAAAAAAAATATAAAAGAGAAAATAGAGGAGAGAGAGAGTGAAGTCAAAAAGCAGAGACAGACAGAGTCAGAAAAGGGAGAGACGAAAGGGAGGAGGAGAGGAAGAAAATGAAGAGGAGAAGAAGACCAGAGAAGATGGAGAGAAGAAGGAGAAGAAGAGAAGAAGCAGAATAACTCAGCTTCTTGGATTGATCTGAAACAGGTTAGGCTTCTCTCCCTCGATCTCTTTCTCTCTCCTCTCCTCCCTCGATCTCTCTCTTTCTCTGTTTCTGTCGATCTCTCTCTGTCTCTGTCAATCTCTTTCTCTCTTTCCTCTTTCTCTGTCTCCTCTCCAACAGTTAGGGCTTTTCGATCCCCCTCAGGCGTGTCCGGAAAGTGTCCCGCCGTGTCCATGGCGTGTCAGACTGGAAGATTTCAAAAAAAAAAGACGCGTTAGAGAGAGTGTCGGACACGGGTCTACCACGTGTCCGACGCGTGTCAGTGTCCGACACGTGTCTGACACTCGTACGCAGTGCCTGGGGATGTGTCGGTGCTTCATAGTCTAGGTGTCAGATACGCGTTTGAAGCACCTACTTTGGAACATGTAACCAACAAGAAAGTAGTGCGGGAAAAAAGAAAAAAAATGGAAGAATGCTATAGGTTCTCTTTGGTATCTTTTCACCCAAACCCTATACATACAGATATTTTTGGTCAGTCAAACACCCATCTCAGACACGCTATATTAGATAGCTGCATATCCGACCTCAGACTAGCAAAAGAAAAGTTGGGCAAGCAAAGAAAAAGTTGGGCAAGCATAACTCAACTGTGTCCTCATGTCCTAGAATTGTGGAAATTTAGTGGATTTGACATTTGGACATATATCCAGACCTGGTGCATGCCTAATCCTATGTTACGTTGTAGAAATTTAATGTATAAAGAGAAATAGAGAATTGTATTATTGATTGATGTTTGTAATTGTTATATTAATTACAATGATTCATGATTCCTATATATAGAAGAGGGTGAGTGTGTAGTAGGTAAGGAGTAGGTGAAGCTGTAAAATTTGATGTATAGAGAAATAGAGAGAATTGTATTATTAATTGATTGATGTATTGATATCTATTACAATGATTCATGATTCCTATATATAGAAGAGGGTGAGTGTGAGTAGGTGAGTAGGTAAGGAGTAGGTGAGGAGTAGGTGGAGAGTAGGTGAGTGTGTAGTAGGTGGTAGTGGTAGGTGTGTAGTAGGTGAATTTTAACAGCCCCCGCAAACTCAAGGGAGATAGAAACTAACCAACTTGAGTTTGGAGAGTGTAACAAAACAGGAAAGTAAACTGATAAATAAAATAAAACAGGATAGGAGACACTGTATGGTCGTGTCAGACCGTTGTAGAAGACTGTATGGTTATGGCAGACCGATGTAGACGACAGTTTATGGGGTCATGTCGAACCATTGTAGCAGACAATGTTGTGACAGTTGTTGTGACAGTTTACGGAGTCTTGCTGGACCCTTGTAGAAACTAACCGGAATCAATGTCGGGACAGTTTACAGAGTCTTGTCGGACCCCTAAAAAGTCGCACCCTCAAAAGGTGTGCCCAATCTTTTAAAAGGCGTGCCATCAAAAGGCGTGTCCAATCCATAAAAAGGCGTGCCATCAAAAGTTGCGCCCTCAAAAGGCGCGCCCACTTCATCAAAAGGCGTGCCTGACAGAAAGCGTCGAGCCATCAAAAAGTGAGCCGGAGACGCGGCGAGGCACGTGAGTGACAGAGTGGCATGTCGGCCTCGGCTATTTAACCAAGGTTGAGGCGAAGGCTGTGCAAACCAGTCTAAAACCGCCGAAAATCCTTTGAAAAAACTCTTCCGTTTCTGAGAAAGAGATTCTGGAACATTCTGTTGCCATTCTGTAACAATCTGTAAATACTCTATATCCAACCCTTCTCGGAAACACTCAGCAACCCAATAAACATGGCCTCTTCTTCCCGTTCGCTACCCAGAACATGGCCTCCTCTTCCCATGGTCTGCTCACGCTCTTTCCAGAATTGAACGAGTCCACAAGAGAAATAACTAGTGCGGTGGCCAGTGAACTGCAACCAAACACCTCTGATTTTGCTCCGTTGAACTTTCCGATGCGGTCGGTGGAGCAAAAAATGGCGGTGCAAACTGATATTGAGGCCAATCAGTATACTCTGAAGTCATGTGTGGAAACCATGACTGCGGTCACAAACCTGTCGCATCGACTGCAGAGCAGGACAAATGAGGTGCAACAGTTAAACTCCCAACTGGCTCTGCTCCAACGCATGTATAAGGATGCGCGAGCAGAGATAAGTGTACTAAAGACAGAAAACAAGGAGCTGAAGCGGAAGGCCACCGTGATGTTCCGATTTGGAGGTCCACCATATGCTGTAGTGGAGGAGCAGGGAGGAGGCAACTTGCTTGGTGGTCTAGGAAGCACGGAGGCAACACCGGTAAGAACCACCCAGGACGGAGGCAAGAAGAAAAGACCGGCGGCTGAGTAGAGAAGAAAAATCCCACTGTGGGTGTGGTAGTTTTGTTTTTGTTTTTTTTGTTTTTTGTTTTTTGTTTTTTGTTTTTTGTTTTTAGAGACCGACGGCCGAGTAGAGAAGAAAAATCCCGCCTGTGGATGTGGTTTTTGTTTTGTTTTTGTGTGATGTAAAAGTGTGATCGGGGTTGATCCCCTGATATGAATAAAATGACAAGATTGTGAAAAGTTGTTGGTGTTATTTTGTGGTGTTGTTTTGTTTAATAAGAAAAATAAAATAAAAGAAAATAATGGATAAAGAAAATAGAGAAAAATATTTGTGGATGAAATAAATTAAGAAAAAGGAGAGATATGATTAAAATGGGTTTGAAAGTGGGAAAAGATGAGAGAGAGGGAGATAGAGTGGGTGCATGATGATGATGTTGGGTCCATGGAGAGAGAGAGAGAGGGATGTCCAAGAAGCTTGTGCTTTTGATAGTTACACATTACCCAAGCTGTATGTGAAGATGCATGTTACTGTCTTACACTTCTGCAGGCTTGGTATTCTTTGTGGGGCACTTGCAACACGTAACATTGAAAATTGTATTCGAAAATGATGACATCTCCAACATGAAACGTCTTGGAAGCAGCCCAGGCCTTGTAATCAATATTCCCAATGATGGTTCAACCAGCGGAGTCCCCAACCTTGTACACTGCTGCCATTGAAACCTTCAAGCCAGCAAACATGGATACCAACAACAGAGCCACAGCTCTACACCCCACACCCAAATCCATGGCTAAGAGAGAGAGAGCAAATCGGGAAAAAAAAAAAACAGCAGAGCAGAAAAGCAGCGCCAGAAACGCCAACGACGACGACGAGTAAGAGTACAACCACGGATATGTGAGAGGCGAGGTGAACGGCGATAGAGGCTAGACGATGATGCGGGTGCCGCCGCCGACATAGCGGAGGAGGGGTGTAAGAAAATGTTGAAGAAGTCAAGGTATGTGTAGAAAATAAGCGGAATAGGTTGAGGTCCGGCGGGCGGCCAAGGCGAGGTTGCCGCCCGCCGGTGAAGCGAGAAATACTAAGGTCTTAACCTTGCTCTGATACCATGTAGAATTTAATGTATAAAGAGAAATAGAGAGAGAATAAATTGTATGTATTATTGATTGATTTATATTGATATCTATTACAATGATTCATGATTCCTATATATAGAAGAGGGTGAGTGTGTAGTAGGTAAAGAGTAGGTGAAGTGGAGGTGGTAGTGGTGTAGTGGGTTTTAGTGGAGTAGGTGAGGTGGTAGTGGTGTAGTGGGTTAGGTTTAGTGGAGTAGGTTTAAGTGGGTGAAGTAGGTGATAGGTTTTAACAGACATGCTATCCAGTAATGAGTTATCAAGATTGAATGGAATTGCCGATCTTGCTAAGAAAATGGTGGAGACTAGAAAAGACAAAATATATCCATTGGTGTATTTGCTCGACTTTAGCATTAGTCTTGCCTGTTGCAACTACTACTGTTGAGAGGGTATTTTCAGCTATGAATATTGTGAAGAATCGGTTGCGGAACCGAATGGGTGATCACTATAATGTCAACTTGAACCTTTTTGTTGTTTATGTGTCTACTATATTAACATACGAGCAGGATGTAACAATACAGGACAAATGGGCAGGGTGTCTGATATGAAAAATATTTAAGATTACCAACAAAAAAAAAAGGGATTTTTTTTTTAAGGTTTTAGTTTGAGTTTGAATATCATATTATTGATTCTTTTATGTTATATAGTTTTTGGAAATAATGAGAAAGTGGAAGGGAGCTTATATAGCATATATGTGAATGTCGAAAAATATGGATGCTACTAGCCAATCTTGTATACAACTGAAACCTTTGGAGTAAGAGGTAGGTATATTTCAAGTACAAAAACCTTTGACAGAACTTAGTGTTGTCAACTTAATGAACCATGAGATTTTGATGCAAATAATAACAAGGGCGTATTGGAAATTTTACACGGCCCATGTCAGACCTCATTGAGTTAAATTTTGTTTATGTTTTACTAGGTTTTACAAGTTGAGGGTTTTCTGGTAACTGATAGATTTGTTAGAAATGGGTGCAGACACAGTTTATTGGTCTTTTCTTCAGCAAGTTCTGTTATTGAATCTTTATAAAAAATCGTCTTAGGCCTAGAAAAGTCTTTCCGCAGTCAAAAGTTGTAGTTCTTTAATTTGAAGTTACAAGTCTTGGTAATTGTAGGAAAAGTTCAATGGCCTATAAATACCTTTGTAATTTACCTTTGGAGAATTTGAGATTGTGTGTCCAAGCATGACCCTTTTGAAGGTGAAGCTGAAGACTAGGAATTCGTAGGGTTTGATTTCTTTTCTAAACTTGGACTTGAACTTTTCTTTGTTGTTTTAACCTGTGTGCAGCCAGATCTTAACCCGAGAACAGTGTTGGTAAAAGCACTGATAGACATATAACATCTATAAGCTGTTATTCCTTTTCAATGATAGACATATAAGTTCACAATCCTAAATTCCTTTTTAATGTAGACTTGTAACATCTATAAGCTGTTTTTTCTTGTTACAGTTTTTGTTTTTTGTTTTTCTTGTGCTGAATAATCTGTCGATTTTCATAATCTGAAGTGTTGATAAAATATATTTCAACTGATTCCTCATGTGAAAAAATACTTCTTCAGGACATACGCATGTTGCAGAGGCACTAAAAGTACCACTCCATATATTTTTCACAATGCCATGGACGTAAGCTTTTTACTTTTTTTTTTTTGGGTGGCGAGGGGGAGTTGGTTAAATGCTTAAAATGTTAATTTGACAAATCTGTACTGTTGTTTTAAGTTTCCTACTTATTCCAATGTCGTAAATTAATCTCTATATAATTTTAGGCGTACATTCTGTGCACTACTGAGTTAAGTAGGCGTGTTTATTGAACATTTTTTTTTCCAGGCCTACCAGCGAGTTTCCACATCCTTTTTCTCGTGTCAAACAAGAAGTTGGATATAGAGTAAGCCTGTTCTTCTACATTTTTTTGTTTTTGTTTTTGCATTTATGTCTTAATAATCTATTGGGTCTCAATTAATTTCAAAAGAATGCTTCTATTATTTGTTTCCATTTCTAAATGAAGATTAATGTTTTTTGCAGCTATCATATCAAATTGTTGATGCACTAATTTGGCTTGGAATATGGGACATTATAAATGAGTTTAGGAAGAAAAAATTGAAGCTGAGACCTGTGACATATTTAAGTGGTTCTTATAGTTCTCCAGATTTGCCTTATGGATATCTTTGGAGTCCTCATCTTGTTCCCAAACCGAAAGGTCATTTCCTTGTTATCCATTATATTGCTGTTTATTGAAGGAGTAATGTAGTGTCAAGTCTGCACATGTATTTGGAGTTATTTATTAGTTTCTGTCTGGTGGCAAATTTCTGGAGTTGTTTTTGTTATATTTGATGCTAGAGATACTTTGGTATACCAATAGTTGCTATTTTTTTCTTTTAGCTCATATTATTCTTGTTCTTGTTCTTGTTCTTTTTCTTTTTCATTTTTCTTTCTTTTCTTTTCTTTTTTTTAAATTTTAATTAAATATATCTTCCATGTTTGTTGCTTCTTCTTCTTCTTCTTCTTCTACTACTGGTGTTACTACCACTACTACCACCTTTTTAAGTTTGTAACCTCATATTCAACCAGTTCTGAATGCAAAATGTTTCATTCTACATTTATTAATGTTGTTATGTGAGAACATGTTACATATTGATAGATCAAGCTTCATTGGTAAAAAGAACTGAACAAAAAGCTGCTTATGATTAGCTTTATGGTTGGGTTGGGAAAAGGGAAGTGTGTAGATAGAGTCCTATAATAGGTAGTGGAAAGGTTTTGAGGTTAGTAGATGAAGTGGGGCTGAAATTAGATCGGATTTTTAAAGTGGCAAGTTGTTGGAAATTTTGGAGAGCATTTATAATTGATTTTTGAGATGGATTTGAAAGTCAAAAGGTAAGGGAAGGATTTAGGACCATTGAATATTTGATAAACTGGGATTTTTGGGCTGAAATAGTCTCTTTGAGGGTGTTGAATAGTAACAGGGGAATTATTAAGTTCACTTTTTTTCTTTTTTCTTTTTTTAAACCCTCAAAGTAGAAAAAAGGGCTCACCCTCACAAGGGTTGAGCAAAATGACACAAACACACTTTCAAGTTCTCATATACATTCATACGTACAAGTTTTTGCGATTCTCCTACTAAAAATAAGAAACCAAATAAGGAAATAAGAAACATTGGCAGGAAAGTAATTGTTAGAATTTCCCATCTTTACCTTCACCTACTCCACCACACACTCCACTTCACCTAACCCACTATCACCTCCACTACACCTACTACCACATTTTCTTCTATATATAGATTGTATAGGAATTGTAATTCATCAATCTTGTAATACATCAATCAATAATAATACATATATTTTTTAACATGGTATCAGAGCAAGGTTAACAACCTAATCATTCTGCTTCACCGGCGGGGGAACTAGATTTCTTATGAGTGGATTATTAGTGATGCTAATGGTTTGCAAGTTGTCTGGTATACATCTGATGGAATGCTTGGTGCTGCCCTTTAAGTAGGTTTTTTATTGTTGTTTTCTGGTTTTTTTGTTGTTCTATTCTCTGGTTTGTTTGGTAGTTGGTGTCTTACTGCATCCCTTCAATTGGACTTCATTAGAATGTTCAAAAATTTGCAAAACCTAAGGCTTAATTATAGCTTATTTGGAGCCGAGATTATAAAATAGCCATCAAACCAACTAAAAATCAGCACAAGCATTTTACTAAAGTCTATATAAACTTATAGAAACAAACCAAACCTATTGAACTCTCAGTTATAAAATCAGAGCTAAATTTGGCAACTTTATGTAGAAATACTTCAATATATCATAGTTTTGCGACCAAACGTTTTATTACTAACATTTTAACACTGTAATTTTTTTTTTCATATGTTTGAGAGATTGGCAATGGATGGAACATAGTTCAGGGAACATTAGAGGATTACATTTTGAATTTTTGAATATATTTTCTCATAGGATTTTCTTATGAATTTACAAGCTTGAAAGTTTATTTTGGAATTCATTGTGACATGTTTGAAGTTTCGGAGTATAAGGGATTTGTACTTTTTCTGGATGTTTTGGATTTGATATTTTAGTTATGTTTAATATGCTTGTTACTTTTGAATTAAGTTTGTATTTTGGATGCTTTGCACAAGTGTGTTAATTTGTTTTGATTGCATGTATGTGTAGAATTGATGCACAAAGGTAAGTTTGGGTTTAGATTATTTTTTATAGGTTTATGAATTATGTATTGAACAAGGAAATTTAAAAAATAATAATAGTAAATAATGAATTTTTGGTGACAGATTTTTCAATTGTGAATTAATGTTTGGTGACACTTGTTTTCATTGATACCAACCAAAAACTTGATTGGTTGTCAAAAGATTTGATATTTTAGTAACTAATTTGTTTCATTGCTGAAAGATACTTTGGTGATGTATGTATATGTCGCTAAAACTTAACATATCATCTGATTAAGGTTACTTTTAGCAACTAAATGTTAATTTACGGCAACGAATATTTTGGTATTTGGCGACTAAAATATTTGGTTGTCGATTTATTTATAAGGTGACAACAATTTATTTTAGTTGTTGAATCATTTAGCAACATGGTTTTGGCAATTCTTTTTTTTTTTTTTTTGCGACACTGATATTTTTAGCGATGAAAATTACACTTTTAGTGACAAACAAAAACGTCACTAAAAATGATTCTTCATGTTGTGGTTGGCCCTTAATATGCATAAATTTGTGTCTTTTTCTTATTCTTGGGAGGTTGGCACATTTTTGTTAAGAATTTGGTCTACTTATGGTATTTCATTTGACACTAGCTTTAAAATGTCATCCCTAGGTGTATATATATTATTGTTGTTGTTTTTATGCAGGTTAAAAAGCACTTCTACATTATTGGAGAGTAGACCCCATTTTGTTGTGATGATTAAGGTGGAAAATTAATAATGGACTTGTGGGATTGTCATTTCTTGTGATGTTTTTGGCAGGCAAATACAGTATGAGTGGGGGGACATTTGCGGCATTTGCTTTGGCCCCATCTACGGTTGAATTAGAATTTTAAAAATGCTTCATCCCTTAATTTCTCTTTCCCCAAACTCTTCTAATGACATGGCGTTATTTTATTAACCAATCAATTCTTTTTAAATTCTTCTTTTTTCTCTTAAAATTGTTAACCACATCATTGTGAGAGTTTGAGAGAATAGAATTTGGGAATCTGGCAATGCTCTTGGGATTTTTGCGGCCGCTTTTCCGGCCGAAAATGTGAATAAAAGGTTTTAAATATATTTGGAGTCACGGGATGCATTAGCACCTTGGTTCTTTTCTCTACGAAAGTGTTAAAATATGTTAGTAGTCTATGTTAGTATTGCTAGTGTTATCATTATGTTTAGTACAGCATTATGTTAGCTTTAATAATTATTCTTGCTTTATGCTTTCGGTGCCTCAATTGGCACCCAATGTTGGCTTTCTCCTCTCTATAAAGAGAGTGTAAATCTCTTTGTAAACAATACAATAATCTTGTAAAATACAAATCAATCAATAATATACATCAATTTATTTTTACATGGTATCAGAGCAAGGTTAAGCACTTACTATTTTCGCTTCACCGGCGGGCGGCAATCTCGCCTTGGCCGCCCGCCGGACCTCAATCTATTCTGCCGGACAAACCCAACGATACTAACTCTTCTTTCTTTTCTCTCTCTTCTTCTTCATTTCTTCTGCTACTTCTCATTACGACTTCGCTGTCAATGGCGTCCTCACCGACGCCGGAGCTCTGTTCATCAAGCAAAGACAGCTCTTGTACTACAGAGGCGAGTTTGTGACCATTAATCCATCTCTGGTCTTCCCAAACCCTCGTCTCCGAACAGCCTACATTGCTTTCCAAGCTTGGAAAGAAGCCATATTCTCCGATCCCCAAAACCTCACTGTCCCTTTCGAATCGTTTACAATGCTGAGATTGGGCTCAAATTTTCTGCGGAGAACCCTAGCTTCCCCGAACCGCCGTCCTCGCCAGCTTCTGATCCACGACGACATCCTCTTCAACTACATCGATTCGGAGCTCGTCGAACACCTCAAACTCTCCGAGATTTCTCTCAAAAACGCGAAAGAGATAGGGGTTTTCAAGGTGTCGTTCCACCAACACTGATCTGTTCCACCAACACCGAACCCCGACCATGTTCGGATTCCCTGTACTGGAGCCCCCACGGTTTTGGCCTTGAGGATCTGCTTTTGTCCATATTTCCTCCATGCATAGCTATCCTCCATGGTGGGTGAACCTGTGATCCATGATTCTGAAGTGCTCTTTTTTCTCCTGTGATCCATGATTCTGAAGTGCTCTTTTTTCTCTTGTAACAACCCCTCCGATCCTTGACGGCCGGCAACTTACTACTCTCGCCGGAATCCACAGACCTCAGGTCACCACCACCACCGCAGCTGGGAGACCCAACTTGGGTAGTAGTCGCCGGAATCTGACACACCTCACCGGACTCATCACAACAAGAACTCATCAGAGAGAGAGTCTGAGTGAAAGATCTCATACTGGTTTAAGGAGAAAGGCACTGGTTCTGGACAACAAATAATTGACGAGGTCCTGTTCCTTTCCAACCCATGAACACTTTTATTTTTTATTCTACTTTTTGCCATACCAACCCATGTGCACCCATCATTCCACCACCACCAGCACCAAACACCATCAGCTTTATTCTTATTATTATTATTATTATTATTATTAAAATTAAAAAAAAAAAAAAAAAAACCAAACCAGATCGGCACTTCTCTCAGCTACCCAACTCGGCGCATCAGCACATTCATCTCTCTCGTCCGCATATGGAATTATCTCGGCCGAGTCGTAGCCGGTTTTGCTTCCGAAATTGTCTTACCAAAATACCAATTCCCTCGACCTCTTATGTTCACTCTCATCCTTCTCCTCTCTTGCGTCGGCTACCGTGATGACCAGAACTCGCCACTGGAGAGTGTGTTCGAGGGAGTGCCTCTGATTTGTTGGCCATACTTTGTGGATCAACAGATTAATAGTAGATTTGTTGGGGAACCCATCCTGAGAGAGCACATGCCCATGTGTGTTGTTTTTTTTCTCTCTCCTACACTGATGCTTTCCTTATCTTTCTTTTCTTTTACTCTCTCTCTCTCTTTGTTTATTAGAGTCTATAGAATAAACAAAACCTCTTTTATTTGTCAAACTCCCCTTTTCCACCCACGTTTCCCTTACTTTACAACCAAACCTCCTTTATTTGTCAGACTCCACATCTCCCACAATGTGCTG